GGAACCGAATTGTGGCCCTCTTGGGGCCTCTTGGGAGCATGTGTTTAGTTATCTTGAGCCATGCTGGGCTCTCTTGAGCGATCTTGAAGGTTATCTTGGGCTCTCAGAGGCCCTTTTGGAGCCATCTTGGGCGAACAAAGGCCTTTGACACCTCGCGACCTCCCCCGTCCAGGTCCAGGAGAGGGGGTCGGGGGAGGGGTAATCCCTGCCCGAAGGGCAAGAAGGGGTTGTGGAAGGAGGAAGACAGACATCGTTTGACCACCTGTCGCCCAGAGGGCTGGTGGGATTTGGAAGCATGTTATGAACATGTTGATCACCGATGGTGTTCGTAAGAATGTGCAAGAGCGCGGGCGCAAACTGTTATTCCCTACCTAGGCTCTGCCTAGACGGGTTCTTACTCTGTAGCTTAAAGGGGCCGGGCAGTGCAACCCGCCCCGGGCGGTTCCCCCAGTCCCCAGGGAGCGGTTCCCCCAGTCCCCTGGGAGCTTTAGCTTTAGCTTTAGCTTAGCTTTAGCTTAGCTTTAGCGTAGCTTAGCTTCGCGTTAGCTTCGCGTTAGCTTAGCTTTAGCTTAGCTTCACTTTAGCTTGAGCTTGGCTTTATTTAGCTATAGCTTAGCTTTAGCTTAGCTTTGTCTTAGCGTTAGCTTAGCGTCCGCTTAGCGTTAGCTTAGTTTTACCTTAGATTCATCTTATATTTACCTCATGTTTACTTTAGATGTACCTTAGTTTTAGCTTAGCTTTAGCTTAGCTTTAGCTCAGCTTTGGCTTAGCTTTAGCTTAGCTGTAGCTTAGCTTTAGCTTAGCTTTAGCTTAGCTCTAGCTTAGATTTAGCTTAGATTAAGCTTAGCTTAGCTTAGCTTTAGCTTAGCTTTACCTTGGTTTTAGCTTAACTTTAGCTTAGTTTTAGCTTAGCTTTAGCTTAGCTTTAGCTTAGCTTTACTGTTACTACTAATGCTGCTTTCCTTGGGACTCCAACTCCTAGGTAGGGTCGCACTGGGATAATTATTTGAGGATTCGTGTTGCAAAACCATGTGTGCATCCCAACCATCCTGTGGTGCTGGGTCCTTGCTTTTAAGAGAGCACCCCGCGTTCCTCTCCTCTCCATTCCTTCTCTTTGTAGATAACTTCTCCCTGTCGCACGCCGAGGCCAGTTGTTAGGGGGGGCCGGGCGTTTCGCCTGAGACTTTCTCACCATCTATGATTCTGAAGCCTAAAAAGTGTCAACAGCTTCACAGATGGATGGCGGGTTGTTTTCAAAATGTGGCTCTCGCCATAGCGCCGCGCACACTCGTTTTCAAATGTGCAAGAGCTTCACGGATTGATGGCGGGTGGTTTTCAAAATGTGGTTCTCGCCTTAGCGCCGCGCACATTCGTTGTAAAGATTACAAGAGCTTCACGGATTGAGGGCGGTTGGTTTTCAAAATGTGGCTCTCGCCTCAGCGCCGCGCACATTCGTTTTCAACACTTGCAAGCGTTCCACGGATTGGTGGCGGGTCGTTTTCAAAATGTGGTTCTCGCCTCAGCGTCGCGCACACTCGTTTTCAAATGTGCAAGAGCTTCACGGATTGAGGGCGGGTGGTTTTCAAAATGGGGTTCTCGCCTTAGCGCCGCGCACTTTCGTTGTAACAAATGCAAGATTTTCACGGATTGAGGGCGGTTGGTTTTCAAAATATGGTTCTCGCCTTGGCGCCGCGCGCATTCGTTTTCAAAATGTACAAGAGTTTCACGGATTCCCATGATCAACGTACCAGAAATTGTGTTTTGAAAGGGTTCAGGATTCAGGATCTGGAAGGATTAGCGGTGCTGAAATCCCAAAAACGGCGTTATGGCACGGTTCCGGATCGTCAAAACGCAGCAGTCAGATTGATACGTGGCGTTGAATACCCGAGAACAATGTTTTGGCATGCTTCAGGATCTTCAAACGGTTGTTTTCCAACGCGACAGTTCATTCAGTGGAAATGAGCCGTTGCAGGGGCTTATGAAGAGGGAGCTTTGAGGGAGGGTTAATCCAATCATCGGCGATGACTCTTGGGTTTACACTGGTTCTCCTCCTCCTCCTCCTCCTCCTCCTCCCCCATCCGCCCCCTGCTTCCATCCCCTCCCTCCTTGCTCCTGTCCTCATCGCCATCATCATCATCATCATCATCATCATCATCATCAGCATCAGCATCAGCATCAGCATCAGCATCAGCATCAGCATCATAAGCAGCAGCAGCATCAGCATCAACATCAGCATCAGCAGCATCATTATCGTTTGGCGCACCCCTCACACGGTTCGTGGCCCCATAGTTCCACCGAACGTCCTTGTAGCCCCAGGCCGCATGAAGTTCTTCCCCCCCCGAGTACGGCAGGCCACCCACACGCTTCGTGGCCCCATGGGGAGTTCCACCGAAGGCACCAGCGGCACAGGCCGCATGCAGTTCCACCACCCATTCCAGCGCACCTCTCACACGGTTCGTGGCCCCATAGGGAGCTCAATCGGATGCCCCGGTGGCACAGGCCGCATGCAGTTTCAGCTTCCATTCCGGCGCATTTGTCACACGGTTTGTGGCCCCGTAGGGAGTTCCAACGATGGCCCCAATCAGTGGCACAAGCCGCATGAAGTTCTCCCCCCTTTTCGGCGCACCCTTCACACGGTTCGTGGCCCCATGGGGAGTTCCACCGAAGGCCCCAGCGGCAGTGCCCTCATGCGGTTCCACCCACATTTCGGCAGACCCCTCACACAGTTCGCGGCCCCATAGGGAGCTTCATCGATGGCCCCAGTGGCACAAGCAGCATGCAGTTCCACCTCACATTTCGGCGCACCCCTCACACGGTTCGTGGCCCCACAGCCCATAGGGAGTTCCACCGAAGGCCCCAGTGGCACAGGCCGCATGCAGTTGCATTTTCCATTTCGGCGCACCTTTCGCACGGTTCGTGGCCCCATAGGGGGCTCCACCGAAGGCCTCAGTGGCACAGGCCGCATGCGGTTCCACCCTCCATTTCGGCGCACTTGTCACACGTTCAGTGGCACCATAGAGAGCCCCACCGAAGGCCGCAGCGGCAGGGTCCGCATGCAGTTCCACCCTCCATTTCGGCGCACCTGTCAGACGGTTCGTGGCCCCATGAGGAGTTCCACCAAATAATCCAGTGGTTCAGGCCGCATGCAGTTCCACACCCCATTTCGGCGCACCCCTCATACGGTTCGTGACCCCATAGGGAACTCCACCGAAGGCCCCAGTGGCACAGGCCGCATGCAGATTCCCCCTCCTTGTCGGTGCATTTTTCCATGTGTTTCGTGGTTGCATACGGAGTCCCACCGAAGACCGCAGCGGCAGGGTCCGCATGCTCGTCCACCCCCCCAAATTTCGGCGCACCAGTCACACGGTTCGTGGCCCCATAGGGAGTTCCACCGAAGAGTGTATTCAAACGGCTGTCGCAGATGTCCGCATGTTTCGGGTCGGGCGAAAGGGGGGGATTGGGAAAGGGGGGGGTACGAAATTTGCTGCATGCAGCTGGTTTCGGCCTCACCAGGGGCCCATTCCTCGATACATGGCCGCTCCCGGCGCCGGGAGGCGCCGGGAAAATCAGCTACGTGAGCTGATTTTCAACCCCCCCCTTTGCTATCCCCCCCTTTCGCCCGACCCGAATGTTGCTGACAGGCAATTTTGGCGCACCCCATGAACGCTTCGTGGCCGCACAGGGGGATTCACCGAAGATGGTATTCACAGCTGCGGTATTTATCATTGCTTATGGTTGGGTCCTTCGCCAGGCCAATGCATATGTGTTCGTGACACTCGATTTTGAAATCCTTGCGAAACCGATGGAATGTCAAGGATTTCGGCACGCGCGCGCGCCCGCGAGAACGCGCGCGTGCGCACGTCGTCTGATGTGTTGCAAGGGCTTCTTGCGACAGCACGCGCGCAGGGGCGTTCGAACGATGTCGACGCGCCCGCGAGAGGCCATTTTGGAAGCATGTTATGACCATGTTGAAAAACCATGAGAATTTGCAAGATCGCGGGGGCAAACTTTTAAACATCGCATTGCAACACCATGTCTGTTTAGATGTTTTCGCGACACTCGATTTTTACATCCTTGCGAAACTGAATGTTATTTTCAAAGGGGCTTGGCCTGCGCTCACGACGACGCGCAAGGGGTTATTGAAAACTGCTGATTTTTGACAGACGAGAATGCGCGCAAATGATGTGTTGCAGAGAATGGCGGGGGGGGGGTCAACACCGGCCTGGCTGGGATGGCATGAACTTCTTTTTAGGATGGACGAGGGTTCAGGAACAAATTTGAATTCACAAGCGACACCAATGGGGGATAAGTCTGGGGGGAGGTAGATCTTCATTCTTTTTCAGATAGGACAGATAGGAGAATACCCGCTGTGCAATCTACGCTGTGCAAGCCCTGTGGTGCAACGTATATGTTGTAACCTGTGGGCGCAAGCTATGTGGTGTACGCTATGTGATGCAACGGCGGTTTGCCAACTCATGAGTCATCACCTCCACTGATCTCGCTATCCTCCCACCCTCCCACCCGCCACTCGTTCTGCAGGAGAGGCCTCGCGGCAAAGGAAACCAGGGCAGCAGCGGCAGGCATGGCCCCAGAGACCGAACGACCTGGGGGAGCAGAAGTTACGGTGGAGAGTGCAAAGAAGACGATCTTTGGAGGCGGGAGGTGGGCATCGTGAGGAGGAGAAGCAGCAGCAGGAGGTGAGCGTGTTTTTATTAATTCTTTTGCCGATCGGCGCGGGCCCTCGCACCCCTCCCTCCCCCCCCCCATGGAGTAGATCTTGGCTGTTTTTGGCGCCTGTTTCGAGCAGGTGCCCCCGTGCCCCATGAGCGGGCAGTTCAAGGCATTCCCACCGTGAGGTGGCTCGTCAACCGAGCCTGGCAGCGATAGGACCACAGGAACCTTTGGTCGCAGGCCACGTGCGAGGAGCAGTCCAAGAGAGAGGACGGGGGGCCGGGGAAGGGAGCTTTGCTTCCCGAGCGCGACGGAGCGCGCCAGCGGAGGCAGACATCAAGCACCTCACGCTGTCCCAGCTGCTGTGCCCTCGCTCGCCTGTCAACCGGTCTTGTAAAGGGAAGGCATGCTCGGGGCTCGAGAGACGGGGGTCAATGCAAACGGGGGTCAGCCAGAGCGCCCAATTTTTCAGGATCCTGCAGGGCCAGGGTCGCATTGACCCGGGCTTGGGCGCAGGATCCTGCAGGATCCTTCGCATTGACCCGGGCTTGGGTGCAGGATTTTGCAGGATTCTACAAGGTTTGACTGACCTGGGTCTGGATTGACCCGGGTCAGAAGATCCCCGACATGCTGGGCACAGAAAGCGCCGCCCTACCCACCCCCAGTTGTTCCCCTTACTTCTCGAGTAGGGGATCGACTACAGCATTGGTGTACGCCAGAACTCGCACTCTCGTCGAATCGACACCAAATGCGTAGAATGTTCGTCGATTTACGAGCATTCAACGTATGTGTCATGAACTCGGCGAGAAAATCAATGTTGGGGTACATCAATTATGTAGTCTACTTCCTATTCGAACTTCTGAAGAGGGCGGCCGAGTGGCGGTGGGGGGTGCCCTCTTGCTCCGTTAGCATGGGTGAGGTCGTTCGGACCCCCCTTCTGAGTACTCCCCCCCATGGGGCATTCCTAGCGGCAGGCGCATCCAAACGGTATCGGGTTCGATCCAGTCAGTTCCAGGCGTTCAATTCCTGGCCATTCCTATGTCCGCACATATGTTCTGATAACCGCTGTGTTCAGTTTCTCTTACGTGTGCATGCGTCAGTGTCCGTGCAAGTTTTTTTTGCAATCCGTGTCTTCCTTGGCTTCATCGAGTACGCCTGCGGCGAATCACCGCCGCCCCCGGCAATTCTGGAAATACAGATGTGGCAAACGTTGGGCCAAGGTTTGGCCGAGCTATTGGACTGTGTTTTGCCCCGACCGTTATGAACAAAATGTGGGGGGACATTTGGGGAAGGAAGCGAGGTGAGGATGGGAAGGGGGGATACGGGTGAGGCGGCGGAGGAGGAGGTTGAGGGCAAGCTAGGTGCGCTCGCGTCATATCTGACGTCCCACCCCTCCCTCCCATCCTTTACCATGGCGTAGACCTCCTCTCTGTTCGCACAACCGGATTTCGTAGCGTGGCATGAAGATCAACGCGTAGCACTACATAGCATGGCGTAGCGGCGCCCCAAAGGGGGGGTTCTGCGGCGACACCAGATGTGCAATCACCTACGGTGTTTTTTCGGGAGTTCATTTTTTTAGATTTAGGGCCGATTTGGAAGGACCGAAGACCATGCTGTGGCATTGCACTGGAAATAATGACGCCAGCGCTGCAGCGGGAGCACGATTCGGGACGAGCGGAAGCGCGGAAATGAGTCTAGCGTTGCAGCGGGAACACGAGTCGGAACGAGCGGAAGCGCGGAAATGAGGCCAGCGTTGCAGCGGTAGCACAATTCGGAACGAGCGGAAACCCGAAAATGAGGCCAGCGCTTCAGCGGGAGCAACATGTTGACCAAAAGCCAAGCGAAAACCCAGTTCCCAGGAATCAGGTGTGCAAAACAATACGCGGAGGGGAGCTGGGTATCTTCCGCACGTCATCAGGGGAGAGGAGAGTAATATTCATATGGTGTAATTGTAGAGAAAGCTTTTTGTGGGCCTCTGAGGGGCCTCTTGGTGGGGCCTTGTTGGGGTGCCTCGTGGGAACCTCTTTGGACCTCTTGGGGCCTCTTGGAGGCTCCTGGGGGCCTAGAGCGCGCCATTCGGCATTCGGAGGCATTCGGAGAATGTTTTCGGGGCTCCACTGGGCCGTCCTGGGGCCCTCCTTGGGCGCTTTCGACTCAGTCTTGGCAGTCTGTGGGCCGTCTTGGGGGGCCATGCTGGGGTTGTCCTGGGGGCCCCACATTATGTCCCGTCTTAGGGCCCTTCTGGAAGCGTCTGGGGCAGTTTTGGGCTCCAGGGTTTAGTCGGGCACGTCCCTCTGCAGGAGGAATATTCAAACATAGTCACAACATAGTTTGGGGACTTTTTTTGTTCCGTACTATGTTTGATGATTGTGGAATGTGTTTTGACTATTTGCAGTCTTCCCTTCAAACTCCACCTTTGGGGGGACGTGCCCGACCTAACTCTGGGGCCGTCCTCGGCGGTCGCAGGCCCGAAGAGGCGAGAACGCGACAGCTGTTGAACACGCGCTGGGGAGTCAATGCCTAAGGGCCCTCGTGAGGCGTCTCGGGGGCCTCGTGGGGCCGTCTGGAGGGCGTCTTTGGCCGTCTCGTGGAAGTCATCCTGGACCGTTTTGGCCGCTGTGGAGGCGGTCTTGGATTCGTTTTGGAGGCCGTCTTGGTCGTGTTGGGCCGTCCTGGTTGCACATTTGGCCCGCTTGGGGTGGGGCCATCGCATCCTGGCCGTCTTGGAGGCGTTTGGGGACCGTCTTGGAGGCCACCTTGGACGTCTTGGAGGCGTTTGGGGACCGTCTTGGAGGCCGTCTTGGCCATCTTGCAGGCGTTTGGGAACCGTCTTGGAGGCCGTTTTGGCCGTCTTGGAGGCACCTTGGGACCGTCTTGGGCGGGACAACTATAGGGAGACAGATGTTCCGGGTGGTTGGCTGCACTGGCTGGAACCCCACTGGAAATCTGCAGGAAGGGTTCAAGCGGTGATCATCTGGCACGCCGTGTACCCCTGTTTGCAAGCAGAAGGAGGCGGTGGACTATATGCATCGGTATCTTTTTAACCGATCCACATCCCCATCCCCATCCCAGTCGAGACCCCCACCAAATTACCACCCCAGTTGGGGATACACCCCTCGAAACTCGAAGGGAACGGCCTATAGACCCATCTGGGGGGGTAAATCGGCCAGTGGGGCCCAGGCCACGCAGCTGGGAATGGGGATCGTTTCACCGATACTCTTTTTTGGTCAGCGGCCACGAAGACAGCGGTCAGGTGGCGAAGGCAACGTCCGGGCCACGGGCGAGGCTAATTTGCTAAAACGGAAACGCGGCCGGCCAGAGTTGGCTGACGTACTGCAAGCACGGGCACGTGCACTGGACAAAATGACCAGAATTCGAGTGGCCAACGCATGACAGGCGCCGGACCCCTTACCACAGTGGGCAGGTCACAGTGCCCGGTGATAATGGAAGGCCACAGAAGTGAGTCGCCGTTGTGGCGCCAGACTTCAAACGGACGACCTGCGTAAGCCAGCCGGCTGAGCAGTCGAGAATTGTGTTGCAGCGCGCTAGGGCTGAAGGTTGGGGCCGAGAAGCTGTACATGTCGCTGAAGGCTGAACCACTCAGCGCCCAGGCCAGTCTCAGCGATCCGCATGACAGTGTCGGGGGGGGAGCCGTGCGACTGTGAGCCATACAGCGCGCGCCGGCACGGTGCGGCCACTGGGTGTGAGGGAGCCCGCTGGCGTGGTGAGCATCGCCGACGGAGAAGCAGAGGAAGGGGGGGGGCTGCACGCGTGGTGGTGGTGCCGACTGCGTTGTCGTCGGGCGAAGCGCCTGGGGGAGCTGCACTGCGATAGACGCTGGGAACAGAGACCAAGCCACACCCAGACCGCCGCATGGCACTTCCCCAGACCCGTGAGCCAGCACACACCACGTGACCTCCAGGGCCGAAGCATCCGTCGCTGAGGGTGAGTTTAACCGATACTCAATGCAGTGGTTTTCGTCCCATCACGCCACCTTTCTCGAGGGTCTCCTCGGGCCTGGTGAAGGCATCGTGGCGGTCTCGTTGGGTTTGGGGCCTCTGGGCGGAGAGCTCGATAGGCGCCCTTCTCCTTCCCGTCTTGGGGCCCTCCTGCGGCCCTCTCTGGGGCCTGCTTGGCCGTCTTGGGGTCATCCTGGGCGGTCTTGGGACCCTCCTGGGGCGATCTTGGGTGGCTCGTGCGCCGTCTTGGAGTGCTGGAAGCCTGGAAAGCCGAGAGATTTGACATTTGTCAGACACTGAAGGACTATCCATGCATGTTGCCGCTCGGGGACCCTCTGGGGGCTCCGGGAACCTCTTAGGGCCCCCGGTACGCTTTGGGGCTTTCGGACCGCTGAAACAGTTGCGCGACAAGCCTCAGCATGCACGCGAGCACCTCAGGACAGCCGTGACGTGGGCCTTTGGGCTTTTAGACGCATCCGAGATTTAGCATTGGGGGCCTTGCAGGACTTGAGGACACTCCGCTCAGTAACTTGCGGCACGGTAGCGGATACACCTCAAACAGTAATGTATTACCATTTATATTATGCGGCTAAGCCCCGAAAGTGAACAACAGTGTGTGTGGGCTATTCGTCTTGCGAGGCATGTGTGGGAATAGATCGGGCCTTCAGGCAGTTAGCATACGGTCTCACGCGCCTCAACAGCTCGTCCACGCGGCGTTGGACAATGCATTCACCACACGATATGTCGTTTCCATCATCATCATCATGTATGGGTGTTTTGCTTGTTGGGTTGGCGGCGGTGTTTGAGCCTGCGGGCACGCTGAAGAGGGCCAGAGTCCCAGAGTGGTGTTCACGACCGTTGTCACTTGCTGTAACATGATGTGTCAGACCAGATGCCAACCATACGCGCAGATGAAACGAGTGACGGCACGTTGATATAAGTCACGGTGTATGGTGCCGTCTTCGAACGACGCAATCGATGGATTGATTTAGAAACGAGTTTGTCAATTGCCATTCGTTTAGGATGTTCCGATTGACAGAAGTTCGGAGCTCAGCGACTTATGCGAGGCGCTCTTGGATCGTAGCCTATCATTGGGCTTCCCTGGCTGCATCTGCTCTGCACCCGGCTTCCCACCGCACGTTGCCCACGTCTTGACAACCGTCTGGACCGTCTCGTTGCCTCGACCGAGCGTGGCGGTCGACCGTTGGAATCCGCAGCCAGGTACATCAGGTGCTCGAACTTGGGCTTCGCGGCCGCACCGCTGCTTCGTCGGCGCTGTCGGTCAGTCTAGGCTTCCCAGATGGGGCCCGAGCAGATGGGGTAGGAGGACCGCTCCGCATCGCCGATGCGTCGACGATACGGCTCGATGTGGAGCCATATATTCCCCACGCCGATGACGCCGATGTATCGCAAGCGTCGCCTATGCATGGCCGAGACGTATCGCCGATGCATTGGCGATGCGGCGCCATCGTCCGACCCCATCCAGTCGGACCCCATCCAGGAGACCTCTGGTCAGGGGGTGTCGTCTTGCGCGGTTGTTGGTCGGGGCGGCCGAGTCTTCGCTTCGCGTGGCGGGCATTTGCCGGGGGGAAGGGCACGGGCAGGGGCGGGGAGCGTAGGGCAGCATCCTTCAACCGATCACTATACCCATCCCGATCCCGATCCCCACCAACTCACCACGCCAGTTGGGGATATACCCCTCGAGCTCCCAAGGGGGCAGCCTACATCCCCATCTGGGGGGGGGGGGTAATCGGCCAGTGGTGCTCAGGCAACGCCCGTGGGGACAGGGATAGGTTGCCATATACTCAGTAGGAGGGAGAAGGAGGAGGAAGAGGAGGAGGAGGAGGAGGAGGCGGAGGAGGATGAGGAGGAGGAGGAGGAGGAGGAGGAGGGGGGAGGAGCAGGAGCAGGAGCAGGAGCAGCAGCAGCAGCAGCAGCAGGAGCAGGAGCAGGAGCAGGAGCAGGAGCAGGTGGAGGAGGAGGAGGAGGAAATCCTAATTCCTAATTCCTCGGAGCGTGTCCCTGCATCTAGGCAGGCCGCGACCCAACAACTCAGCTCAGGTCAGGAAAGGCAGCGCCTGACCGAGGCGGTAGCCCTCGTCGGAGCCGAGACAAGACTTCGCGCCCAGTCTTCGTGGGCGGGTGGCACGTCTTTGCCAAATCCCGCGGCGCCTTCACTGTGCAAAAGGCGCCGCAGGTGGTACAAAACAGAACCCCTCGCAGGACAGCGAGGTGGTGTGAGGTGTCGCACTGATCCGCAAGAGGGTGGTCCAGGGCACCCCCACACAGCACAAACGGCCCCAGGTCATCGGGGACAGGCACAGGATCATCGCGACCACTCACTGGGCGCACTGGCAGCGAGTGTACTCGCTGCTCCAGAGTGCAGCGCGGCTTGCATGGATCAGGCCAAGCATCGTGCAGACAGCCTCGCAGTGAGAAGCCTTTCGCACAGGCAGGACAGCGAATCACAGCCTTCCTCTTCTCTGGCTGGCGTCCTGCATCTCGCAACCGACACATTCGTTCGGCAAAACTGGTGCAGTGCCCTCGCTCCCCCCGCGGCGCTCGGGCAGCCCTTTCACGCTCGCCACGTCTGCACAGCGAGGAGGCGAAAACGCACATCCGAAGCGAGCCGATCCGCCTCCAGTGTGCGCCTGGCGTCTTCCTCAGATACGTGAGCCCTAGACGCAGCCTCTTCCGCGAACCGATCCGCGGCACGATTGAAACACAGCTTAGCGTCTGAGAGCAACATGTTTCGGCGTTGGGCGTCAGTGGCGTGTCCTTTAGTCCACAGCACGTTGAGAGTTCCCCCAGGATTTTTCATGACAGTATGGTAGCGGGCCCACAAGTCCTTCATATCCGAGCGCTGTTTGACCTCCAGAGGCTGTCGAACCCCTTTCACCACAGTTAAGCAATCACAATACACACGGCAATCTCCAGTACTGCACAACGCCGACAGGATAAGTGCATGCAGTTCAGCTCGAGGGGGCGGCTGTCGCCTCGTCGGGAGAGACCCGCAAACTACGCCATCGCAAAGCCCATCAGGACCTAAGCGCACACAGCTCCACGCGCAACGGTGGAGCCTCCAATCCTTAGTGTACTGACCACCCGATCCATCTATTCCCCAGACTCCACCATGGATTTTAGAGCCCCCAACCAGTCGGCCCCACTCCCAAACACGCCCCTGGGGAAACCCCGAAACCACAGGCAAGCATTTCCAGGCTCCTATCTCACAAGCGACGCCAGACGATCGGTGCGCTCCACGACCTGATCGGGAATGTCCCGATTGCACTCGCACTCCCAAAAGCGATGGGCGGGCGCCTCAACTGAGGCGCCGCACTTGGGGCACAAGCCCCTGGAGACTGACGGGTAACCAGCATCTCGCAATCTGGCCTCTGTGCAGCGTCCAGCAGTAATGTCATTCCTCAGGATTCGTGCTGCCTCCATCTCCCCGTCCTTCTGAAGCTTAGCCAAGACCCTCTTTACCGCCGTATAGTCAGCCCCTCCTTCCAGCCCTGTTCTCATTTTTTAACGAGCAGCCTGTTGCCAAGACAACGCCGAGCATGTGTCCTGCAACTGCTCCCACAAGGCGGAGGGACACTCATCATCATCATCATCATCATCATCATCATCATCATTGCGGAGTTCGCGTGCGACAGCGCGCCAGAAAACAGGAGAATGGGCTCCCAACCCAAATCCAGAAAGACAGCGAGGGCGGCGGCGATCGGGCCCCGAACAACTCTCCATCGATGCCGGGTAGAACCGAACTTTACTTTAATACGTTCCCACGCTTTACTGAGCAGCATCCTCTGGGATTGGTCCAAGCGTTTCCAAATACTAGCAAAACTGGACAACTGCTCATGGCGAAGCCTCAACTGGGGGTCATCCTTGGCCGACCCCAGAAGCCCCAAGGCCGAGGTGGTACAAGCCCCAGATCTCCACCCGGAGCACATGGCAGCCTGGGCCCGCATGCTTTGAACCTCACTAGGCGTGAGCCCCAAAACTTCATGGCCCCAGGACCCGACAGCCAACACAGCGGGCTTATACAAACGGCTGGCTCGACTAACCAGCTTCGTGGAGCAAGACACCTTCTGGGCCTTCGTGCGAGCCGTACGCTGTCGCTCCTTGACCTTGCGCGCGCAGCGTCTCTTGCCAGCCGTGGCCATGACCCCCAGCTCACGCACAGCTCGCTCACAACGAAGCCTGATGCAGCACTATGCAACCGAGTAGTGGCAGCTCGCTCCAGAGCTACACTAGAACAAACCATAGAACTGTTGTCAGAAATCATGGTACCAGCTGCTTCAAGCTGATGATGTTGCCACACGGCTGCAGGCGCGATCGCGTTGACGATGTCATCAACCGAACCCTGCTGAGTTTGGGTGATGTCGTTCACAAACGCTCTCACTCGTACAGGGAAAAAGTTGGCGCGCGCAAAGTCGAGCACGTCATCCAAATAAATCTCAACCCATGCCATAGACTGCACGCGCCTGCGATATTAGAGACAACCCCCCAACTTCCACGATGCGAGGGGCCCCATGCATAACAGTCCCCAGGTACAGGAGGCGCACAGGGCAACCCATCTTCAAGGCAAATCCAGCCAGGCGACAAGGGTCAACCGTGTCAAAGAACTTCGCAAGGTCCCACTGCAAGCCGCTGGACTGCATATCCATATACGAGGCTACCTCATGCCCTACTTCACGCAACAGGGCGGCAACAAAGGCCGAGGACCCTCGAATAGCAGTGTCCCAGAAGGCAGCGCGCTCGGTGGTCCAGGAACTAATCTCCCGTCCTCGAGCCTTGCAATAGACTCGATACAAGGTAGCAGACTTGCAAATGGGCCGCTCCGCGACCTTGGCCTTCGGGAGGAGAGAAATGATTCCAAGCATGGTTTGGGTGGGCCACATCATGTAGCGCTCACACTGATTGAGGAGCCCAGCGTAGACCCCAACAGCAGACGGAGGAAGCAGCAACAGGGAACGCGGGGCCCAGTGATCAACCCCCTCGGCCGTATCAGTCTTGAACACCCGCGCCGCTCGACGCACATCAAGCGCCCCAAGAGGTTCCAGATCCTCCGCCGCCGCCAGCGCGACCACCCGCAGCTCATCCAACACCCCTGACAATTCATCTCGCTTCTCAGGACCGGCTTCCCAACAACCCGTCCACTACCTTTCCCGGTAGGCCATGAGGTCTTCAGGGAGTTGTAGGACCTCAGAGGGAGTGACAAGGTACTCAAGATCCTCGCCCTGGTCATACTTCAACCAAGCGTGAACTCGCTTGGCTTATCTGGGCAGACAGCGCAGCAGCCAAGCCTTCATTTTGGCCTTAGACTCTGAGCGCGCAGCTGTCCACGCCTTAGTCAGAGTGATACTACATGCATCGGTGATCGCATCGAGACATGGCACATCCTGGGGCAGGCTGGCTAACTGAGCCCGCCACCACTCAGCAGGACGGACACCTCCACGAATCGCATGCTTTTCCATTTTGAAAGCGAGAGGCACCACTATCGCAGCAGCCCTATCAATAGCAACCTTCGATTCCCTGGCCAAACTCAATCGGTACTCCCAGAGGCTCTGCGATAGGTGCGCCAGAAACAAAGAGCTGGCTGCCTGAATGACGGACCTGCAAACCCGCGACGTCCAACTCTGCCGCGCGAGAAACATGGGCACCCAGCTCGCCCGCCGATGGCAGGCGGAGCGTGATCGACTGCACGCGCTCGCGAAAAATACATGCTCTCCGTGACTCGGCCCCATGACACATAATATTCCGATAGAGCCTGAGACAAATTATCAGTGACATGCGGCAAAACCTTGTCTTTCAGGAAAGCAGGGGCCTCAACCTCGCCTGCATCGCGGCACTGTTCCAACGAGACCTCCCTCGGCATATCAGGTCCTTCGCATTTTGGGAAAGGGGCTGGCTTACAACGCTTCCAGAGAACCTGCTCCACCACTTCGTGATCTATTTCCACGCTCAAGCACGCGTGCGTTTTGAAAGGCGAGGGGGAGTACTTGCCAACCCTTTCCAAAAACAAAAAAAAACATCAATATCATCAGAGGCCACTACATGCTCAATGAGGGTTCCCCTCCCCTGCGAACGCGTAAAATCAACGCCAACAGGGGCAACAGCACGAGCACGTACAAGTCGCGTAACTCCAGACATCTCCAGGTCTTGGATGGGGAAATTCCAATCTCCCATCAGCACCCAAGGGGCCGCCAGGGCACCCACGAACCCCATGATTTCCTGAAGCCTCGAAACATTACCGCCACAGACGCCCGAGTCCGAAACCACATATACGACACCAATCGCAATGATGGGCTGCTTGGTCCGAATCTACAGAAACATCCAACAGGCGCCTTGGCCCAGGTCCATCGCAGACCCCGCGCCAGCCAAACACCTACGACAACTCAGCCCCCTAGATACTACAGCTCCGACCCCCTCCACGGGCGCCCCCTCCAGGGGCGGGGGCGGCGGCCTGAAAATGAGGCCGCCACTTCTTATCTGATAACGTCTCCTTCTTGCAAGCTTCGCCTTCGACTCCGCAAGGTGATGCTCGCAGCAGAAGAAACCGTCACCTGGTTGCTTCACTTCATGTGCAGAAGACAGGGCTATTTCATTCCGATGCGTGATGTTACAAAAAAGCAAATGCACAGAGCAAAGAGGCGGCCCGCTCACGCGCCTACACGCCCTGCTAGGAGCTGGGCCCCCGCGAGGCGGAAGACGCCGCAGCGCCCGCCCCTCCTCCAGCAGTTCCTCCAGCACCTCGTGCGACGGCGCCCCGTGCATGTACCTGCTCGAGCACTCGGGCGAAACTCGCAGCTCCTTCTTCACGGACTGCACGGGGTCGCTTCGTAGCCCTCTGAGCTGCCTGCTTGACCAGGATGGTATCCGCGCGGTTCCTCTCAGGCTCGGTGAGTACCTGCCCCAGTGAACGCTTACGAAGCTGATCCAGTTCATCGCGATGATGATCACCGAACTCAGACTCACCAACCTCCGATATGCCATCCATGGGGGCCGCGATGCACTGCTCCATCTGCTTGGCGGCCTCCCAGTACTCGTACCTGTGCCCATGCTTCTGGCATCGCACGCGCAGTTTGTCGAGGGGCATCTGCAGCGGGTCGGGGGGGCGATGGGCAGCAGCCGCTGCGCCTGATGCACCCCGCGGCCCACCTCGGCGCCGTCTCCTCCGCCGCGCCAGCGCGCGCCGCCTCCTGCGCCAGCGGCGGGGGCGGCAGCGGGGGCGCAAGGCTCGGCGAAGCCATCCTGCGCCTCACGCTCGGCGGCTGCGGCAGCCTGTCGCTGGCGTTCGACCTCAGCGCGCTTCTCGTACTTGAACAGGCCAATGTTGAAGCGGTTCTTCTCCGCGTCGGCCTCGCGCACGGCCTGTCGCGCCAACTCCAGGTTGCGCTCCGCCTCAACATGGTACTGCTGCACCTCCTCCAACGTAGCCTTCGCCTTAATATACCACTCAAAGCGCCACTGCACCTCCTGGGCAGCGAGACGCTCCTGTTTGGTGGCCAGCTCGACCTCCTTCGCAAGGGCCGTCTGCTCCAGGGCCGCCATACGATCCAGGTCGCAATCAGTGTACTCGGGAACTCGCGGTGGCGGCGGTGCAGCAGCGTCCTTCGCCACAGAGGCCAGCGCGGGGCAGTGCACCGCCCACTTCTCCAACTCACGCAACAGATGGGGATGCATAGGGGAGGGGGAGGGGGAGGCGGAGGCAGAGGCGGAGGCGGAGGCGGAGGCGGAGGCGGAGGCGGAGGCCGAGGCGGAGGCGGAAGCGGAGGCGGAGGCGGAGAGGGAGGGGGAGGCGGAGGCGGAGGCGGAGGCGGAGGGGGAGGCGGAGGCGGAGGCGGAGGCGGAGGCGGAGGCGGAGGCGGAGGAGGAGGAGGAGGAGGAGGAGGAGGCGGAGGCTTCTGCCCTTCCCGCTTCTTCCAGTCCAGCTCTTGCTGCTCCTGTTGCACGTCCTCGCCCGCCTCCTTCCCCATTGCTCGTCCCTTCGCTCACCCGCCACCACCTCCTCCTCCTCCTCTTCCTCTTCCTCCTCCCTCCTCCTTTTCTTTCTTTAGTGACGTTGAACCAACTGGAGGCGGCAGCCTGGAGCGTGCATGAGCGCAACAAACAATACTCCGACTTAGCTCTGCGGTAAGAGCAACGGGCCGCGGACGGGTGCGGGAAAAGTAAGGCAGTGAGGCAGGTGGCCCATGTCCTCCTCCTCCTCCTCCTCCTCCTCTTCCTCTTCCGCCTCCTCCTCATCATCATCATACTCCTCCTGTTCCTGCTCCTCTTCCTCTTCCTTCTCCTGTTTCTCCTTCTCCTCCTCCTTCTCCTCCTCCTCCTCTGTACGCAGCTGCCCCTTCCCGAACTCCTCCTCCTCCTCCTCCTCCTCCGCCTCCGCCTCCTCCTCCTCCTCCTCCTCCTCCTCCTCCTCCTCCTTCTCCTCTCCTCCTCCTCCTCCTC